CCCCTAAAGCCCTAAAGCCCTAAACCCTAAACCCCTAAAGCCCTATACCCCTAAAGCCCTAAAGCCTAAACCCCTAAAGCCCTAAACCCTAACCTGTTTTTTCTTGCCCTGCTCTCCCAGGATGGCCGAGCTGGCCCCCCGCTGGAGCGCTTCTCCCGAGGCGGCCGGCCGCCTCGAAGCCGAGCTCATTGACGCTCCGGCTTAGGAGAGCTTTTGGGGTTTAGGGTTTAGGGCTCCGGCTTAGAGAGTTTCTTGGGGTGTAAGAGTTTAGGGCCTATTAGGGTCTAGCAGTTTGGGGTTTAGGATTCGGGGGTTTACGAGTTTAGGGTCTAGCAGTTTCGGATGTAGGATGTAGGGTTTTGCGGACGTAAGTGCAAGGCAAGGAGCAAATTGAGGGCTTGTGCACCGCAGCCCCTGCTCAACAAAACCCGCCTCGACACCAGCCGACCAATTCCAAATTTGACAAGGCGCCTACTGTCATGTCGGAATTCCTTTCAATTCCTCTGGTTTTGTTTTTGCCATGGAGAGTCACACAGGTTTCCATAGACTCCGTTCGGAAGCGCAGTCACGTGCATTGTTGCTCCAGGGCGGACTTGTCAGTTTCGCGCCCTTCAAGCCGTTAAAACCTCGATGCTGCAACCTAAGTCTGACCCTGTATAATATAGAGTGGCTTTACAACCTTTAGCCGCTTCGATCGAGAGGTTTGGAGTGTTTTGGATTGGCTTAGCGTTCGGGCACTTGCATGTGAGTTAAGCTTTGATTGCAGAGGGGTCAAGCAACTAAAACTTCATGAGATATGTCACATGTCCTTCCGTAGTCTTCAACAGACATATCCCTCGATCACCCAAGGAAACCGCACTGGACGTGGCGAAGCTGGACAAGGAAGACCTCCGCGAGTCGCCCGGCCCTAGACCCAAAACTTCAAGACTCCTCGAGACCCAGAGGCTCCGATGTGGGACCAACACAGATAGTCACATGCTTACGCAATTAACCGACATATCTACACACACTCCGGCATGCATCACACATATATTTTCACATACACACGCACAGACAACTGCAATACAATATGCCATCCATCCATCTTGAGCTCAAAGATCGTCCAAAGAGGCTTGGGCTGGCCATGGCGGAGAGGTGCCGCGTCCTGCAGTGGTCTTCCTCGCTCTCCTCCTTGCCACAGGCACTCGCAAGGATGATGTTTCGGGCTTTGTGATCTATTGGGGTTGAGCGTGAAGCCTCGTGGATGCGGAATGTTATTTTGGATAACCAATGGGAGAACTTTAGACTTTTCGGCCTTATATATTCGGTCTGCTATAAAAAAGTTGAGCTTTTTGGGGTCCGGTTATTGAAGAAGAGGTTATCCTAAGCCCGATCCGGAAGCTTTCGACACCTCTTGCCGACCTGCAATTCGAAGCCCCGAGATGGAAACTCCGAAGCACCGGGCCAAAAAGAGCACCGAAGCCCTATAAACCCTGAACCCCTAGGTTCGTCCGAGTGTGAGTGCTGAAATCCTAAACCCGGTCTCCCAAGAAGCGCAACTAGGGACGTTTGCTTCGTTGGGTGGTTGAGGTCAGATGGGCTTTTCTGTTATGGTTGCACAGTTGTCGTTGGCTGTGCACCTGCCCTTCCTGACAGCCTGTCCTTGCTTTGCGATACGTGCCGAGTAGGACGTTAGCGAATCGTTGGACCAGTGCTATAGACCTTGCCAGGCTTGTCCGAGTGTGTGTGTCAAAAAATCCTAAACCCCTAAGCCCTAAACCCTAAGCCCCTACAGCAGCCACGTCGATTAAGCCCATAGAGCTGCTTGATCTTCGATTTCAGACCCTTCTGTTGAACAGGTTCCTGTCGGTCCAGTCAGATTGGACCGCCACACCTCCGACCTACCCTTGACAATGCACCTGTGTCTCCGTTACTAAAACCAGGGTGACTTTAAGTTTTCTAAGGGTACTAGTTTCTATAGGGCCATGCATCCTGGGTTTGTCCTGACCAGGCGGGAGGCAACATAGGGCTGATCCAGGTTATGTTGCGACGCATTGCTTTCTGCGCAGTTTTCGGCTTGTTCATTGGTGGGAAGCAGTTTCGTGGGTGATTTCATTACATGTCTCAGAGGGTCATCGACGTGTTGATCGGTGCTTGTTGCAGCGCGTGATGCTTCGTGGTGGCACGCTGGGGCCTGGGGTATCCGATGGTGTGTGTGTGTGTATCCCAGAGTCCCCGGCTTCGAGCCCAGAGCAACCTACTTGTGGCCCGAAGCTCGAATGGACATCAAGGTTGAAGCTTAACCCAAGGTCCAATGATTTCCTTTTTAACTTAATTCCCTGTGCCCTTAGTCTCCCCACTCGAATCCCGTCTCCTTCTGGATCCGAGCCTCAGGAGCGGTTCAAGTTGGCTCTTCACTAGGCAGCTCTGTAACAACATGTCGAACGAATCTTCGCAGAACCCCCGTGGTTTTGGGCTTGCAGGGATGGGGTGGGCCTGAGGGATCTACAGCCGCTTCTGTTGTTTTCCTTGTGACACAAGCCCAAGCTGCAAAAGCCTGTTAGACCCTCTTCACTTTAAAAGGCTTAAGGCGGGTTAGGCCCGCTTAGGCCTAAGTTGCTCCCGTGAAGTCGGACGTCTTCAATGACTGCAGGGCTTCCCTGTCACAAAACACGAGACTGCTCCATTAAGGCACAACTTGGAACGATCTGTAAAGAATGGCCTCTCCGAGTTTTCGCCACTTGGCTGCGTGTTCTGAGTTGCTCGAAGCACGTGCGGAAACAGTTGAGACCCCCCCCCAAGCAAGATACAGTATCGCCCCACATCAGGTACGACCCTCTAGCCGCCGTGCTCGCACACCTCTGCACCCGAGTAGCAACATCTTCAGAGTCCGCTCCCCGCAGATGTAAGCTTCAGTTGCAACATCGGGAAGCTCCAGCTTAGGGTAGTGAGTGCTGGCTCGTGGATTCACGCATTCGCCGTGCCTGCATCAAGCAGAACAAGCGAGATGCTGCTATGCTAGCTGGACGCACTGCGCAGTAACGCTCAGTAGGGCAGCAGCGATCGGCACCTGCAGCAGCACAAATATCTGTAGTCCTGTGCCCAGCACAGCCGTTACCCTTGAACTCCACAGAGCCCTATGGAAGCTTCTTCGCCATGGTGATGGCTGTGTCTGATGATGACAGGGGGGCCGTGGGGCAGGTCCGGCCTTCTTCGAGGATAAAGGCCATCCTTACCGTCGCCGTGCCGCTGATCGGCTTCGGTGCGGCGGCGGCGGTCTTGCGCGGAGGTCGGATGTTACCGCCAGGCTCTGGTGCAAAACTACCTGTGCCGGAGTCCTTCTGCCCTGTCACTCGCAGGGAAAGTGGCTTCGCATGTAGCGGAGGGGCTACCCGGAAGAGGGCGCGGCGCCGACGCGGCGAGCTTGGCTTCAATGTTTCAGCGGCCGAAATGGTGGGTCGCATGCGGGATGAGGTGGCGGCCTTCTCGTGCGACTTCGCCCGGGATCCACCGCGGGGTTCTGTTTGGCCTCCGACTGAACCGACCATATTGTCAAACGTCACAGCAGGCTGGCCGGCCAGCCGCCTCAGCCGGGAAGACTTCCTAAAGCACTTCGAAGGTTGGCGTCTGCCCTTGAGCACCTTCTTGCGCGACTGTTGGCTGGCCCTTGTCAAGCAAAGTGGCCAGTTGGCCGAAGTTCCGGAGGAGGCTTCTTTTGAAGAGTACTTGGATCTTCGTGCTGCCACCAACCGCAACATCTTTGTCTTCTTGAGGGATGACTCGAGCCAGTCGCATTCCAACGAGCACCAGGTGAAGAAGCGGAAGTTTTTTGACGAGACCATGGCCCAAATTTTCGCACCACCGACGAAGTTCGAGACGCAGCTGCGGATCTTTGCCATGGATGGCTTAGCTGCGGGCCATGGTATGCATTGCCATGCCGAAGCATGGCTGGTGTCGCTCGTGGGACGGAAGGTTTGGTGGGCGGCCCCACCGTCCGCTGCACATGTCAACACCAACTCGGATGGCCGCCCCGTGTATCCCTACAAGTCCCTTGCACCTGAGGAAGGTGGCTGGCCATGTGCCTGGCTTCTGGACGAGGCCTCTGCGCCTCCGGGCACGCGCCGCTGCGTCCAGCACCCGGGCGAGATGGTGATCCTTCCTGCCAGATGGTGGCACATGACTTGTTCCTTGGACGAGCTTAACATGGCACTCGGTGGACAGGAGGCTTGAAGCTTCCTTTCCTTCGGAGCTTTCACCGAGTGGCTATGCATTCCATCCATGACCGTTTCACCCGTCATTTTAAGAAGTTCCAAAAGATGTGCGGTCGAAGTCGGCGCTATAAAGCAGCATCATAGCTTGGGAGAGCTAAGGGTATGAGTTGTGGGAATCACAACAACAGCCAACTTTCTGATGAAAGCAAGTTTCTTTTGTTGGGGGGGCCCCTGAGGCTGCGGCTAGTCGAAATCCCAATCTCGCCTTTTCGAATCCTTGGAAGCCACCATAGTCGCCCTAAATCCGCAAAGAGCCACCCGAACGCTTCTCTGGCTGGAACCACGAATCAACCCGAAACATCAACATCTAAACCGTAGAGCCCAAAAGCCGCCAAGGCCTTCGCCCATGGCCCGGTCTGTCGACACACGCTGCTCTCCTTGGGTGGAGATCGAGGCGGGCGAAGGGCTCGTGGGGCCTGCGCCCCAAACCCTAATATCCTATCAGCTGGGCAGGTGGTGAACGACCCTAAACGAGTTTATGGTGCCAGGGAGGTATAGATTTTGCAGGTTCTTTGGCTCTTCTTGGCACTGGAGTTCATGGTGCCTGGGAATATCGATTTTAGGAATGGCTTGGGCTCTTGAGTCGTGCGTGGATGAGGTGCTTGACCTCGAGCCAGTGGTAAGCAAGAGCACCATTTGGCACCTTTATTGCGCTAAGCCCTACCGCAAACAAGGAATCTCGGTCGTCTGCCTCGTTCCAGCAAGCAAATCTCGATGCAGAGCATTAGGGTGTCTTGCTTCAACAAGGCTGTTTCGATTTAGGATTTAGGAGTTGTAGAGCCAGCATGACGCTCCAGATAGTCTACCAGGCCCGGAGCTACAGACGTTCTGCGCCCTGCGCGAGTCATCGTCGGACCCGCTGTATAGTGCATCGGGTCTTGCTCCACGCAGAGAGTGCCAGTGCAACACATCCAGCAGCCCTAAGCCAACAATGGCTCCGCAATATCCCTGAAACAAAAAACCCGAGCACCCCCTGCACCCCGACGGGCCCCTCGAGACCAAACAGCCAGAGGTCTTACTAATCGGGTGCATTTTTGTGGGGTTGGTGCTTGGGCGTATTGCTTTGGGGTGTAGGGTATGTAGCTTAGGGCGGGCGTTCGGCTTTACGGCCCTAGACACGTCCGGAGCAGTGGCAGGCGAATGTGAGGCCCGTGCAAGCGCAGGAGGAGCAAAGGTTGGATGAGATCGAGGGCCAGGCAAGGGATTATTGCCTTCTTCTGTGCTTCGGCTCTTTACAGAATGAAGAGATCGGGCCTGGAGGGACGGAGAAGGGGCGCTGAACCAGACTCATGAGCCATGTTTTTTTTTTGCAGGGATACAGTGCCTCAGCTGTTGGTGTCATGTTGCAGAGTCTGTGAAGCATGGCCATGTGTGCCAATTTAGGCCGTCATTGTGTCCTAGCATTCCGTCTTCTGATCCGCCCGAGTATCAGTAGATTGTGAACCCCAAGCTTTACGTCCTGTAAAGCCTTGGTCCATCTAGGAATCTAGGACCTGCTTGTTATTATTGTTATTACAAGTATATTGTTGTTTTCAAGTTTTCAGGTGGATGGTTATAGTTATTGTGGGGTTTAGGGTTTAGGGTTTAGGGTTGCAACTCCGGGCGAAGTGGAAAGCCTGTTGCAAAAAAAAGGGTTTAGGGTTGAATGGTGATGTGATAAATTGCTGAACTTTGGGCTTGGACCTTATAGAGGGCTGAACTTCTCCTCGCCAGAGCTTCACCTGCCATGTTGAGTCTCCGGACAGTGCTATGCGGGAGCCAAAAGGTGTAATTATTACTATTATTGTTAGTTATTACTATTGCTATTATATTTTAAGAATTATTAGCAGAGCAATCTGGGGGCCTGAGCCGCGAAGGCTGACTTTTGGTGCAGCTGCTTTGCTTCTTCTTCTTCAGCCAATGGTGCCTCCGACTCGTTGCATCTTGGTGAACACTTCATTGGAACCTCTGAAAAGCGAAGTGCGGAAGATGAGCTTCTGTTCTAAAGCCCGCCCAAATCCTCGTCCGAGACCACCTGTCCAAAAGGGCCAGACGCGCAGAGTTTTGAGGGCCTGCGACTTCTCTCAAACGCTCCGTGCCGGTGTATGGGAGTAGGGTTTAGGGTTTGGGGTTTAGGGAAAAGTAGTTTGAAAAATAGGTTGAACTCTGACATAGTCCAAACCAGTAAACCCTAAACCTTAAACCTGTCCGAGTTGTGAGAGCGTAAACCCTAAACCTTTGTTAAATCCTAAAACCTAAAACCAGTGTTTCACATTAGCACCCGGTCTATTCATCGCCTCGGTTCCTCGAGCGCCACCGGCATCAGGTTGAACTCAACTTCGCTGTCTGACAAAAAAGTGTAAGATATAGGTAATATAGGGGCCTAAATAGCTATCTGTACTACCAGTATTTTGGGGGTTCCTGATTATTTATGCTATACTGTACCCCAAAACCTTATTCTGTACCCCAAAACCTTATTCTGTTTTGTTAAGGCCCCTATAGGCCCTACAGTAATCCCAGTCACTGATTGGCTGTCAAGGTTGGCGCAGGGACAAGTGGAAGGCCTGCTGGATGTGCGCGCTGACGGGCAGCAAGCAAGTCCACAAGCCGGTTGGTTTGTTGTCATGGAGTTACGATACTGCTGCTGCTTATGCTGCCTCAAGCTTTCAATCCTGAAAGAAATTGAAGGCATTTCTTGGTATCAGGTCCGTAACAAAGGCTCCAAAACCTTGCGCCCTCCGCCCTCCATGCCAACAAGCTATGCGCTAAGTGCATCGGGCATCCAAGGAGAACATCCTGGAAGCCTTCTTCGATTGCACGCCCGTGCCTTGCAGTCTCGAAGGGAAAGTTATTCATGGTTTGGTTAGTAGATTAGGTTCTTTGGAGCATATGCTGTAATCAGTTGACTGCCCATGATATTCCGCACAAGTCACGTCTATGATACTCCATACCCTAAGCCCTAGTCAAATCTAAGTTTCGACAGACCCTCGACTCTAAGCCCTGTCAAAGCCTGCTCGTCCTTACAAAGTGAAGGCAAAAACGCCCTAAGCCCCGGAATCGTCAGAGTAACCCTGAGTTCCCTTCTGGTACCTTTAATAGTGGCCGCAAATTGAAGTTGTAGCAACTCTTCTGAGCGGCCCAGGAGCGTGTGAGAGAGGTTTTCGCGAGCATTGCATCTCGCTGCTGAAAAGTGCGATGGCGTTGAGATAGGTTCATTAGGGTTATAGGGACTAAGGTTCAGGGTTTTGTAAGGCTTATGTTTGGAGTCACGGCTCAGAGGGTTTTGGGTCCAACTAATTATGAACTTATGCTGGTTAGCCAACCAGGCGCAAGGGTGGGAGTTAGTTGCTTTCACGTCTACGGTGTAAGTAGAGCCTCGCTGGGTCAATGCGCACGTTACCAGCTCAGGCTTTAGTGAGTGACTGCCTTCTGATGCCATATATGTATACCTGTGCGGCCGGAGGCAACATCGAGTAGCTCGAAATCTTGCGTCATGTCTTCCGATGCAGCACGTCGTGGCAAAGCACGAAAAAACAGTACGGTACGGCAAGGAACGGACCGTGATGTGACAGGAAGTTTGTTTGCCATTGTCTGAAGCAGCTCGCGCAAGGCGGCGCAACATACTGTCGCACGAAACCGAATGCAATAGGATGATCGCATATTTACATGGAACAGCACGGCATCAGGGTAGAGAATCCGATGCCTGATAGAACGGACTGGGACAGAACAGAATGCACGAAATTATATGCCGGGCTGCACAGATGTATGCAGAATTGCATGGTTTTGCGAGAGCAGCCTGTAGAATTGCACATGTGTATTGCCGAAAGCTAGTTCTTGGATCATTATCCAAATCGCGGTGCCGCATCACATTTTACACAATGCTGTAGTGCAGGCCGGCTCTCCAGGTGAGTGCAGACTAAGTACATACCTCTAGCTGAGCTTGAATCAAGTACTGCGCGTGTGCCTGACATGAACAGGCAGCCGGCATTCTGCTCTGTGCAACATGTATATAGTATATACCCTACCCTAAACTCTAAACCCTAAGCCCTAAGCCAAATGATAGATTAGGTTTGGCTGAGAGTCTTTTTGACATTATGGGCTTGTCTTTGATGATCCCAAACTGACCTCGCTTGTGGGCTTTGATCCTTAGCTATGCGAGAGGGAAAAAAAGCCAAATGAACAAAGGTGTCCCAAAAACCCTTAAACCAACCCTAAACCCTAAATCGTACAGGGTTGGCCACAAGCACGTAGCAAGCAAAAAAGCCCTCAGAGGTTATGTCGACCCGCGGGTCCCTGATAAACGAGCCTAAAGCCCAGGGCACATACGCCCGTAAGCCCCACAACGGTTTACTTAGGGTTTCGGGTTTAGGGTCCCAAAACCCTAAACCCCAAGCCGGAAACCCCTAAACGGCAAACCCGAGATCGAGGGAAAAAACCCCGAAGATCCCTTACCCGTAAACCCAACCGCCCTAACACCTTTCAACCCAGGACTCCGACAGTGATGGGCGCATGTTGACGGTGCAGCTTGACAGCCCAAAATAATTTAATGTCTGGGTTGTAGGGTTAAGGTGTTGGGGATTTAAATTTAGTTGGGGTTTTAAGGTTAGGGGTTTAGAGGTGATAGGGCTAAGTGGCCAGTCTCGCATTGCAGTGATGAGTACGACTTAAGGGCAGCAGTCGAGCCCGTTTTAAGGGGGTTTAGAGGTGAGAAGGCTCTGCTGTTGAGGAGTGTTTGCTGGCACGCGCTCCAAGCCCATGCTCCATAGAAGTGCTGGGGGCAGGTCAGGGGTTTCTTGCTTTCGGGTCTACAGGGCTCCCGTTTTGAAGGCTTGGGGTTTACCGGTCAGGGTTTTTTTTGAGCGGTTTAGGGGAAGTTAGAAGTGTAGTGTCTCAGATCTACTCATGTTCGCGGGGTTGACGGTCTCTGGCGATTGCACAACTCCAGATGCAACAACGGGGCTTGGGATTTCGGGATGTTTCGTGTTTACGGTGCCGCCGCTGCAAGCTGCATGCCGCAGGGAGCTTTGGGTTCATGAAGATGATGCTGATGATATTGATTCCATGACATGTGGTGGGTTTAGGTTGCCGGGTTCCTTGGCGGCCATGTCGCAAGGTCGGTAGTTGAGGACGAATCCAGCCATGTGCATGTTTGGATGCTTCGACGGATATTGCGGGTCTCATGCTCTTATCGCGTAGCTGACAAGGCATGCTATGTCCTGCACCTGTGAAGCTCAAATCGCCTAAACCCCAACTCCCTCCCCCAATTTAGGCAGCAGCTTCGGCATGGTTTGGAGCGCTGCGGCGTCTCGGGCCTTGCATCTTCGGCCCACAAGAGTAGGATATTTCTGTTCGCGTTCATGGCGTGCTTGCTGTTGATCTCATGATAAGTTCTGGTGCTATTGCTACTTCTGCTACAATAACGGCAACAACGAGGACGACAAGAAAAACAATAATAACAACAGCAGCAACAACAGCAACAGCATCATCACCACTACCACCAACAACAACAGCTGCTGCTGCTGCTACTACTACTACTACTACTACTTCTACTACTACTACTACCACCACGACGACGACGACTACTACTACAACTACTACAACTACTTCTTCTTCTAGTACTGCTACTACCACTACCACTACCACTACGACTACCACTACCACTACCACTACTACTACTACTACTCCTCCTCCTCCTCCTGCTGCTGCTGCTGCTGCTACTACTTCTTCTTTTGAGGATAATAGTTCCCCCCCCCATAGAACTGAAAATGCACACTTTTTTGAGGCTTATGATGAACTCAGCAACTAGGTTTAGGGCCAGGGCTTCGGGTTTCCGGTTTAGGGCTAGAGTCTGAGGGGCAGATAGAAATAATTCGATATCTTTGGTTATGACAAATCCCTAAGAAACAGCTAAGATTAATATTTTGCTAGGGTCCCAAGTTCAGTATGGTAGTGTTTGATTACTGTTGTCACTGCCGTGAGGCTAGTCAACTAAGCAAGCAGGGAGAATAACCCTAGGACCCGGAACACCCTGAACTTTCTTCTTGAAGCATTTTGCATCGGTCGTCGGCCAGCCCCTAAACCTAGACACAAAGCTTAAGCCCTCAAGACCTTAGCCCTGTAGAGTTCCGAGGTTTGAAGTCCCTTGTGGTCTAATATACGGGCCTTAGTAGTTAGAAAAGGCTCTGCGCTAAATTGTAACAGGAACTGTAATAAGGAGCCCCAACGATAGTATTGCTAATTCAGGCACCTAAATTAGGTCGACTCAGACACTGGAGACGTTCCAGCGTTTCGGGTTTAGCGTTTTGGTTGGCGATCCGTTAGGGTTTGTGGTTTGGAGGTTTATGAGGGTTTACGGGTCTGGGTTTACACAAAGGGATGGTTTAGGCATCTGTTACTGTATTTGGGTTTTTCGCGACTGGGAGCCTAATTATTGTGTTTACTTGACGAACAGAAATCAGATGGGTTCAACCTTACAATAACCCCTACTCTAACTGCACAAAGCCCACCAAACCGTAGATTCTAAACCCGAACCTCGCCAGGCTTGTCCCAGTTGTGAGTGCTGAAACCCGAACCTTGTCAGCTGGCCGGGTGGGAAAAGAAAACCCGAATCGGATTGTACATTGATGCCGAGGATACTGGGACGCTGTCCAAGGTCTTCGAGTGCGTCAGTGGCACTGGAAGGACACGGGGGAAGGGGGGGGGGAGTTTCTTTGGAAGAGCAGGGTCCTCTCATTTTACAAGCCCGCGCAGAGTAATTGTCCGGTGTCGGGCGTATTGACGTTTTGGTTCTAGGATTGAGGAGTTTGAGGTGCCAACGCTCAGGTTTCCAACACCACGCCCCGCCCCCTTAAAGGCTTGAAGTTTTTCTGCATTATCCTTAGCCAGAAGTCGGGGTTATATAGGGGATTCAGAAACCTGGAGGGAGAACACATGCCTCCTTTTGAATTGGTGAGTGCAGATTCCGGGTGTACCACGGAGAGACTGGTACTTACTAGTAGCAACAATCCTACATCAGATGGCCCCCTAAACCCTAAACCCTAACTCAACCCTAAGCCCTAAACTGGGACCCAGGGCCGAAATGCAGTAAGGGTTGCAGATCATTCCAGCCTTTCAAGCATAAGCGGAGTAGACGACAGACAAGACGGGGGTGCAGGACTCTCCACCTCCAGGCATTCGAGACTATTCTTTGCGACTTTGGCAACACTGCACCTGTCTTCTTTTTGGTTTCGGGTTTCGGTTAGGCCTGTTGCCTTCAGGCAGGGTTTACAGTGGATCTGGGCTTGCCGTGTTGAGGCTGTAGGCTGCTCAGTCTCAGGGCCGTCCATGAACTAATCAGGTCCCGCTCCTTGGAGCAAAAGTGGGAGCAACGCAAATCCAAACCCCAAGGCCTGAGCAAAAGCACAGCGCATCATGCACCCTGAACTAAATTCCCCGTAATCTCTATAAACCGTTGAAACCATACATCCGAGACCACACACGCTCCAAACCTCAATCCCCCAACCGTCACAGCCTAATCCGCTCACCCTACTGCCCTACTGCAATCTTAACTCTCGCACCCTGAGCCCTACACTCTAAACACCCACGCAATGAATCTTAAATTAAACCCTAAGTCGTATGATTCGTTAAGCCCTTAACCCCACCCCTAAACCCTTATAAGCCCCTAAACCCCATAAGCCCCTACCTGTGACCCCAAACCCTACGAAATAGTAGGTAATGACCCCTTAGTTAGAGGGTAGAACCCTAAAACGGTAGGTTTTTGGATTCCCAGGTAAGCCCCACCCCCCCCTCAACCCCTAAACCCTAAACCCTAAACCCTGTCATCTAGTGCACAGTCTGTCATATCCTCAAAGCTTACCTCGCTTGTGGGCATAGATCCTTAGCCATGCGAGAGGGAAAAAAACCCTAAGCCAGCCCCATAAGCCCCGTAAGCCAGACGCCGCCACCAAGGCCGCCTGCGGCTCGCGAGCCTCCTGGCGCGGCCTTGGCGCGCCAACCTTTCTGTGGCTTCGGTGCTTGTCTAAGGGCGGTTTAGGGTTCAGGGTCCAGGGTTTAGGGTTCAGGTCTAGGGTTCAGGTCTAGGGTTTATAGGGTTCAGTGTTTAGGGTCTAAGGGGGGGGTTTAGGGTTTAGGGTTGATGTCGGAGAGGGATTCTTTTTACTTTGAGGCTTCGTACAGTTACACAAAATTCAGGGCATGGAAACGGACTTGTCATGTGGAGAATTGGGGCGGAGAGTGAAGCTCTTTTGGGTAGTGGGTCGTTGTCCCTTTGTTCGGCAAAAACACAACGTTTCACATCGATTTGTTGTTCCAGGGCTCGATTTTGGTAGTTGCATGTGATTGCTTGATGATTCAGGTCTACGGGTTTAACAATTTGGTGCTGTTCCTTTTTTGTCGTCGCCTGGAACCGTTTAACCTGGATAGGTTCTTGGCTCAACGTGCCAGGTGGCTTCTTCTGAGACAAGCCACGTTTGGTTACTGCTTAATCACACACTTATGTGTTATACCTAAGTGTTCTTCCACAGCAAAGCAAACGATCCTTCTGCCGCTCTCAAAGGCGCGATTTCGGATGATCATGCTTTCCTGTGCTAGTGCTAGTGCACAGCTGTGGTTGCAATGCCGGAGGCTCATACGAAGGGCCCTCTGCATTGGTTGCGATACCCTTCGAATCAGTTTCGCAGAATGCTCGCCCAGGTGGTGGATTACAGCTGCTCCAAAGCCACGGACCAGTGCGCTTGGGGGCATTTGGAGCTCTGGGCCTGGGATTCATCGCGAACTTCTGATGTGCATGATTCCGACCGTAGAGCGAGATGTGGTCCTGATCCGGACGACCAGCACCGACAGGCACGGTAGTCATCGAGAATCGAAACCTCCGAGGGCAGAGCCTCAAGCTGGAAGTAGCAGAGTCTGAACCCCGAAGCTCAGCATGCTATGGTTCTCAGTAGTCGGGTCCCCTTCTTTGTGGTGCTGAGACTGACATACTCCCTCGGAGAAACTCAAAAAGGGATGATCCGAATTTCGGATGGCTACACACGACATGGAAGGTACATCGATGCGAACAACATGCGCAGCTTCTTCTTCGGCCATCGGCCTGGCGCCAGAGGGCCCCAGGCCAGTGTAGGAGCTTAAAGCCTAAGGGCCTCGAGGCTTTTTGAAGCTCCTGTTTAGAGAGTCAGGGTTCAGGCTTTGGAGATGGATTCTGACACTTCGGGCTGCGAAAAGGGGTTGGAAGCTCTAGCTCTAGCTTCTGATATCTACTGTAGGGGTTTCTGAAGATTAGGGGTACCTTGTAGGTGTCCTTGTCACAAGGGTCCGACTATTTTGGTTTATGGTCCCGGTCCTAGCTGGGTTTGTAACCGAATCCTACTCGTCTGCTCGTTCAGGAAGGGTGGTTCAGTACCCTGTCAGGTCTGTTGTTACCGTTCTAGAGCTTAAGGTTTACAGCATGGTTTAGTTTTTTTTGTTGGTTTGGTACCTTTCGGTTTCTAGCGAGCGCCCGTGCTGGTAGATGCCAGTACTGGCACTGGTGCATTCGCCGCGCTCTCTCACCCCACAAAGCACAGCAGAGCTGTGTGTCACAGTCTTGCTATGTACCGTCAAGCCTTACTTGATTAAGCCACTTGGCTCATAATCCGATGATTTGGCTTGATGGCTTCAGTTGCTGGTTTGGTGCATCTTCCTCTCCGGTATTCGCCAGCAGTGGAGACCCTCAACCCCATCGACCCGACCCTCAAGACCTTCATCGTGTTACTGATGAGCCCGTTTCGATGGTTTATTTCAGCGATTGGAGCCTGTGCCCCTTAGTTGTCCGGTCCCATTGCCCTCGTCTTTCTGTCCGGCTTTGAAACCATGATGCCCGGGGCCCAGAACCGAGCAATGCAGAAGGAAACAAATAGCCTCAAGGCTACTGGGTTTTGAGGTTGCCTGAGCCCCGGGGACTTGCATTCGGATTTAGAGTGTGGAGCTCCAGCTGCCGACTGAAGTTCCCAACATGAACTCCTGAGACTTCAAGCCTACTCAAAGCCGTAAGACACCAAGAAACCCGAAACGAAACCCAAGACCCCAAGACCCTGAACCCTGAGGCTGCACAGTCCGCGTTACGGGAGTCCAAACCCTAAAGCCCAAAGAACCTTAACCCACGTACTAGTCTCATACATATATATATATATACACATACATTAATATATGTGTACACACAGACACATACATATACATATATATATATACATATACATGTATAGATATACACACCTGTCTGTATGTATGTATGTATGTATGTATGTATGTATGTATGTATGTGTGTATGTCTATATATACATATATAGATACATACATAAACCCTGCCAGGATGCCCTGCCGGTCCGCTGGGTGCACATGCGGCGCAGCGAGGTTTTGGGCTGTTCTGGGTCGAGGTGTCGGTTTGTCCAGTTTGGGTCTAGAGCCACTAGGGTTGCTTAGTCCGGAAGGGTGCAATCTGTATAGCCACTGTATAGCCCACCGAAAGATGTACAGCGCTTAGGGCAGTTTAGCGGAATTCGCTTGCCCCGGCGGCTAAGCCCTCATGAGTATTTTGGCAAAAGAGAGATCTCGAACATAAACCAATCCAGCATGCAGGACAGTTGATTGAATCCCGCTTAGTCGCGGACTCAACTCTACCGCCCTTAAGCTAACCCTCCCACTGCACCCTGAACCTAGACCTTATACTGTAGGAAGCCTTACAGCGGAAGAAAGCAGACCCGAGGCCGCAGTTCGACCTGCACCTCCTCCTGGCACTGACTGTGAAGTACAGCCTGCATCCTTTGAGCGTGGAGGTGAGGGGTTGTAGGTTTTGAGTGAGTGAGGGAGTGAATGAGGAGTAGGAGTGGTGGTGGTGGTAGTAGTAGAAGTAGTAGAAGTAGATGTAGATGTAGAAGTAGAAGTAGAAGTAGAAGTAGAAGTAGAAGTAGAAGTACCAGTAGTAGTAGCAGTAGTAGTAGTAGTAGTAGTAGTAGTTGTAGTAGTAGTAGTAGTAGTAGTAGCAGTAGTAGCAGTAGTAGCAGATGTAGCAGTAGCAGTAGCAGTAGTAGTAGTCGTCGTCGTCGTAGTAGTAGTAGTAGTAGTATCTTCAGCAGCAGCAGCAGCAGCAGCAGCAGCAGCAGCAGTGGTGAAGTCTACACCTAAAGACTCGACTAAGCCCTTACATCAATTTTGCGAGTCTGTGCCTAGTTGCGAATGCTGAAATCCTAAGCCATAGAGCCTGGGAGGGTTCTTCCCTGAGGATGTCATCGAGCAGTGTCCGACCAAGATCGACCGCCTGGGTGCGAATTACTTCTTGGCAATTGAACTGCTGACCTTGGTCGACAATGGCCAGGGGCCGAAGGCCGGAAGAATAATGGGGGTCAAGGGTGGGTTTTGGACGGAGAAGGGGTATGGTGATGTTATAGCGATTGAGACTTACAGTAGTCCGGTAGTTTGGGTGAACCGCCAAAGCCCCAAATCCTAAACCCTGCCTATGAAACGCAAAACCCATTTCGGGGTTCAGGATCTTGGGTTTAGGGTTCAGGGTAGGGTGGCGGGCAGCTTGGAGGCACTTCAGAGAGACCTCGTTCAAAAAGGTAGGGTGAGAACCAGGCACTTCTGCAAGGGTCTTAAATCCCAAACTCAAGGCCAACTTGGAAGCTGAAACTCGGCTGCGCAATCCTCCGAAGCTGAACTTAGCAGCCACCTGAAGAAGGGGTTCGGGCTCTAGCTTAAGATGCTGAAGGTTTGAAGTCCTAAGAGTTCGTGATAAGTTCAGCAAAGCTCCGGAAAAGTTCGGTCTTTTTTTCCCCTGTTTGTTGGGGAAATACGTCAAAGCCAAACGTAGACTCTGGGTGGAGGGGTCTGAGGGTTTGGGGGGGGGGGGGTTTGGTTTTGGGGTTCGGAAGGTAAGGTTCATAGCCGAGCAGTTTCAGGTTCCGGTTTGTTTTGGGCCCCTGAAGCCTAAACCCTAAACCCCCTAAACCCTAAACCCCTACAAACCCTAAACCCGAAACCCTAAACCCTAAACGCTATAAACCCTAAACCCGAAACCCTAAACCCTAAACCCCTATAAACCCTAAACAGCGGCGGCAGGGCCAGCAGCCGGTTCGGGTGCGCGGCCAGCACGTCGCAGCTTTCTGCTCCGGCCCTCCCCGCTTGGACACGCTGCTGGGTTCTGGAGTAGTATACCCATAGGCCCCTAAGTAGTTCCTTTTTATGGTTTATATTTAGAACCCTATAAGGTAATCCCAAAAAGGAACTACTTAGGGGCCTATGGGCACTTCGATATTTTGGACCTGTTCCTAAAAGGAACCACTTGTGAAACTTCATGATCAGGCTCATCACCGTGACGCAGACGGATCGGAAGTTCAGCGAAGACTGGCCAGTGGTCTGTGTTGAGGAAGCTTTCTCGTTTTCGTCATTGTTGATTTCATATCATGTAGTAATCCAGAAACATCAGGAAACACGAAGCACCGTACATGCGGATGTAGATGTACATCCATAATTTCAACCGATCGCTTGCTCGGTACTTCAGAAGCAAAGCACTGAGCCAAAGGCCGTAAACCCGAAACCGTAGCTGCTGTGCCCAGCTACCTGTGCCCGAAAAGGCCTTAGGCAAGGAAGCCTAAACCCCTAAACCCTAAACCCTGAACCCCTAAACCCTGAACCCCTAAACCCTAAACCCCTAAGCCCTAAACCCCTAAGGCCCTAAACCCTAAACCCCGAAAATCCCAAGCCCCCATAGGCCCCCCAACCCAAAGCCGCCTCCACGCTCGTTAAAACCCTTCTCTCCCTGAGAGCCGTGTAAGCCCGTTGCACTGAACCCTGAGCTTCCCCTAGCCCAAAACTTCCCTCAACCCTAAACTCTAAACCCTAAACTTCCCTAAACCCTAAACTTCCCTAAACCCTAAACTTCCTTAAACCCTATAAACCCTAAACCCTGAACCTCCCCTGAAACCCCAAGCCCTGAACGCAAGCCCTAAGCTTCCCCCAAACCCTGGCACCAAGAGCCCGACCCAGGCCAGGGGGCCCTGGCCTTGGCGTGAAGAGCCTTTTCAGCACCACGTGATAAGTTCCCAAACCTCTGGGTACCTGAATGTTTGTTCGGGAAGGCCTTATTTTTTTTTATAACGACCTAAGGCATACCCTGTTTGTGGCAACATGGTCTTACACTGACCTGAAGTATCCTAAAGTGTGGAGATTTCGGCACGTTCTATCCTATAGATCCTGCAGGACTTATCCAAGATACTGTAAAATAAACAGTGCCTCGTGCGCTGGGCTATGCCACAGTGAAGGTTCCGGGTCTGTCATGTTACATGACAGCGTGACCAGTCCCGATGCAAGGAGCATCTAGCATCGCGTCCGAGTATTTCTGAACTGGGAGATTGCGCTTTTTGTGCCCCTTGTGCTGAACAATCCTGCTCTACTCACGGCTCCCACCCAACCTGTTACAAAGCTGATCCTCACTCTGCAAATTTCTGCACCCTTTCATTGGCAATCGGGGGAAGAACGAGCCTTGCCTTGTCCCTCGCAAAACTGCCTCTAGGTTTTACTACGATGGTCGAAGACAGAACCGAAACCCTGAAGCCAGCCCTCAGGGCCCGAAGCCCTCAAACCCAAAACTCGTTGAAGGCGCATAACAACCATACGAAGCCCGCAAAGCCCGCAGGAACTGTCCCACAACTTTTGGACACGGTTGGCCGGAGAAGCTACGCCAAAGGCTGAAGGCGGGACTCCCCTACACCCTTGAACCCTGCTTTTTCGGGTGTAGTGGGCATAGTGATATTCACAGACAACAAGAGCAGTAATCAAACAATGTCAGAATTAGTTCTAAGTTCTAATAATCATCCTTGTAATGACTTAAACCCTAAACCCTAAAACCCTAAAAACTAAATCTGTGGGAGGGAAAAATTTAAATCTGTACCAAGTTTCTTTAAAACAAAGCAAATTCTGTAAATCTGATTCTGAAGGCCACTCGGTCGAGGCTCAGGGAACGGAGGGCCGACTCCCTCCTCTACACGGCAGCTGGTTTGACTTTGGCGGGTTCTGTGGGTTTTTTTGTTGGGGGAATTGGGTTTTTTGGTGGGTTAGGGTTTATAGTGTTTAGGGTTTCTTTGCGGGTTTTGGAACTAAGCCCTGCGCAGCAACCTAGACTGAGGACTTGGAGGTCACAGCTTAATGCATGTAGACAGGGAGTAGCGCATCTGAACGAGAGTTGCACAGTGGCTGCTCAGTCCATACCGCACTGTGTTTTTTGTAGCTGTCTGTGTGAGTCTGTTCACGCAGCTGAAGGTTCTTGCGACTTGTTCCGTGCAGTGCAACCTTAATCGGCGAGCTTCATGGGGCTTGCAGGCTGATGGGCAGAGAGTGCTATAGGGACCAAGGAAGCACGTAAACGCACGCCTCCTAGATATGGGGTATAAGGGCCCCTACAAAAGATGGATTCCAGTAAGTAAAGCTTTAGTACGAAGTCCTTGTGTTATTGTGTGTTTTGCCGCCCCGAACGGCCCCAACGAAAAAAATCATCTAGCAATGCTGCTTTGAAGAAATGGGAACGGTAAACCCCCACACGGAGGTTGTAGACCTTTGCGCGGATGAGCTCGTGACGGTGACACGGGCCTTCTTGGCTCGCCTGAGCTGGTTGGAAGAGGTGCATGGGATGAGTGCATCGCAGAGTCGGTGAGGTTAGCGTGCTGGGGTGCCATGCCTTAGCTGCTTCTAGGCTTGCATGGATCCGCACAGGATCATGGGCCGTGGGGCTTCACCGTCCGGTTTTTTGTCGATTTGCGGGTATCCGAAACACGTTGCAGCGGTTTGGAGCGTGTCAAGGTTTACCGGGAGGGTTGAAGTCAATTTTGCGCACTTCTGCATCGGGTTCCGTAAACCCTCTGGCCGAACCCAACGCCCTCGAACCCTGCCTAGCAGTCAGGGCTTGCAATGAGCCCAACCAAACCCGGAAAGCCAACATAGTCTAGGGTTTTCCCATTGCTTAGGGCCGGGCCCCCAGAGTTCCGGGCCACAATTGCGAAATCATTCTTTCTGTTTTCGCAGCACAGTGGAATCTCGGTGCTTGATAAGGAGCTGCGCTGCTGTATGAGAGAGACTCGAACCTGGAAGAACCGTCCACGCGGTCAGCACTGAAAAGAAAGCGCATCGCACTTATGGCGAAAGCGCAGCACTTATAAGCCATCGCGGCATGGTGCAGACAGCTGCTACGAAGTGCACATGAGCTAATACCAGTCACGGGGAGCCCTGGCTAGACTGTTCGTTCCGTTTCTGCTGGGATCTGGCAGAGGACCTGCGAACTCGAGGCGACGAGAGCCTCCTGGATCTTGGAGAAGCACCTCGACCGAGGAATCCTGAAACCAAAGGGTTTTGGTCCATTTTGGGTTGGTCTCCGTGGAGCTTGTATGCTTTTTTCTCTTCACTTCGGACGAACTCCCCTGTGGTGCGACTCTGTCAGCTCGGCGATGAGATTTTCATCGAGTTAGAGTCAGTTTATGGAACCTGGATAGGAAGTTCCGTTTTGTGATTAGAGCTCAAGAAGGTGGAGTTAAGCGTCAGTTTTGGGAGTTGGGGTTTTGGGTTGTCTAATCAGGTTCCTGCATGCGTTGGGAGACTGCTTTAGTTTGGACAGCCCTTTGGAAGGCATGTGTAGGTTGAGACAGGCTTTGCCGGGATCGATTAGCAGAACAGAAAGACCTACCCTGTTGCTGTGCTGAGCTTATTGAAGGAACCAAGGATGTAATGCACTTGGCACCATGTCTCCGACCTGCCAATGTTGGGTTGTTTGTTGGTGGACTTGTACCAGTACAAGAGTGGGGTTCATAATTACCTTCGGAAGCTTAGCTTGGATTGAGCCGTGTATGGCGCTTTGTTGCATTTGTTGGTTCTGGACACCTGTTGAACATCTCGGCTTCCTGTTGCAAGCAGTGATGTGGGATCGGGATGCTTGCTGTATGCATGTAATTTTATGCCTTCCATGGACCACGATGCTTTGGGCCTTTTGGATGCTCTCATCCCAGCACCCTTGAAATTTGACCCCTTGTTCAGGGCGTGTTTGATCTTCCGCCCGTTCCTCCACTCACCGAGGTAAGCCTTGCACAGCTTCAGCTTGGCATCGTGACGCGCAGGCTGAGGAGCCCTCAGGGAATTCACTGGGAGGAAGCCGAAGCCGAGTGCGCGAGGGCTGGTTTCCGGCATCGGTCATCCGTGTGATGGCGGTGCCTGTTCTGCGGTCTTCATGGCGACATGTTGGTGGCACACTTGTTTGCCCACCCGAATGCCGTGCAGCCCAACGCCACGATATCAGTCACTATATAGTCACGAGAACACACCGCTTCTTGAAGATGAATTTGG